CCAAGTGTTTTCCAAATAGTTTCACCTGGATATCCTACTGGCACTGCAAACTCAGTATGTCCAGAATTGAACACACTCATCCCCCTGCCGTTGTGCCCATCCCCAGTTACTGGTCTCCCTCCTATATTCTTTACATTTGTCAATGTTTTTAGATCCTTCACCCAGTTTCCCAACCCAGTACTTTGGAAGTTTTTTACTCCTTTCTCACATTCTAAACAGCACACCCAAGATATTCTTTTCTTTGTGTATCTCTCATACCTAATGGGGCCACGATTCCACTTGACAAGGTCCATCAACTCCCTTAATCACTGCAATACAATCATTTGTCTAGCCTCCGATTCTTATTTCCAATTCCGCTTTCCATAGTGGCCCCAGATTTCAAATACAAAAATTTGATTATGTCATTCCCTTGCTCACAGTTGATCATTGGCATCTCATGACTCACAGCATACAAAATTTAAAAACTTTCATCTGCCTGGAAAACACCTATTCATGTTTCATGTTCCTCTGGGAAGTTTTCCAGGACAGATTTAAATGTGTTATCCTAATTTGCCACTCAACTTTGTGGATCACTGAATTTAGTAAATCTCACTGTATTTGCTTCTTTGCAAGTCTGGTTCTCCACTTGTTTAAATGCCTTGACAGCAAGACCTTGCTTTCTCAATTTTGCATCTATAACATGTAGCATACTAGTAGGAACTCTATAAACATTTAGTGAATGCAGGAAATGTATTTATTTTTAAAGGTATATAATTGCAAAGAGTGGAAAAAATTTTCCCTAGGGGATCTCAAAGCATGCCCTGCCAAAATTGAAATCAGGAATATCCACTAGATAACACACATAACTCTTGTGACAGACAGGGATGTATCCTGACCGCAGTTTATGCTCTAATAAGAATGTGTTTGCCAAGTCACTACTGGCACATGTATATGTTTTTAAGAACTCTAGATCATGGCTGTGATTGTGCCTGATGTTCTTGACCAATAAGAGTCCAACTATCCCAATACATTCACTGAAGTAGGTATTGGGAAAGGGATCAGGTGAGGTCTGTGCTTATACTCTACTGAGATACCTTTCTTCAAGAAGATGGATTTCAGCATTTCTGACAAGAGACCCTTCAACTCGCATAGATCTTCTGAACATCCATCTGAGATCTGTCATATGCCAAGGCCAAGGATACACAGGCCCCTTTAAACTATTACAGTCGTCTCCACCTGGTATCAGTGTGTAGGGACAGGGAACACTCTGTAGAGTTTTTTTTTTTCCCAATGTAATTTGTCACATTTTTTCTATGGATGTTCTCTAATTTCCCTCATCCCAACAAGAGACCAATATTCAATTACTGCTTCATTATAACTCTTTCTTCCTCTCATAGGGAATACGTATACAGAAAATATCACATATTGAACAGTCAAAACTCTTAAGATTTACTAGAAAAGTAGAAAGAACTAAGGGATGATTCCTAGTTGCCTGTTGTTTTGAATGAGCATCTTGGAGGCAGATGACCAGGCACTGACACACAGTTACAA